TGTGGATCTCTCCCGGGGGCAGACGGGAATCGAACTCATGTAGAAGTGGCTTAAGCTTCTTAGTGCAGTGCTTTAACCCTCTGCACTACCAGGGAGGGCCCTTGCATCTTTAAACTTTTTTTTTGTTTGTTTTTTTACTGCTAATTGTGTTACAATATATTTTCTTATGTATGGGTTTTTTAAAATCTTATTTCCTTAATCCATACATAGGCATAAATAAGTATAATGTTCAACACATTTGGAACTTGCAAAATTATTCATTGCCCAGAGAAGAAAACTAAAAAATGCTTACCAGGAGGCCAGTTTATCTGCCTGCCTCCAAGAACATGGAGATGAACTTGAGATACAGACTGTCTCTCCTCTGATCTTCATTCACCACCTTTCCATAACCATTCTCCAGGTTTAGATCAGCCAACAATCATTAAATGTCCAGGAAAACTGGAGGTGACATAGGTCCTATTCTTTTCTCCAGGATCACTTAACTATATAACAAAAACAACAAAACTAATTTAGGTAGTCAGACTTTATTAGAAAGGATTATTGCCTGGGAAGGGATATAGCAACAGACAGGGCTCAGGTGAAATCCAACATGTTCAGTAATCCAACATATGAGCTATATGCCTTTTCGAAATGAGATTATATCAAACCTACTTCTCTGCATTTTATTTTGTCACTCAGTGATCACTAGAGAAAATTCTTCCACATCTTGCAATAGCCCCCTTTTTAAAAATGCTTTCAGAATGTTTGCTGATGTGATTACACCATAAATGTTCAGCCATCTCTCTCTAGGTGACATGTTCTTATTTTCATCATTTCCCATCTGACTTTAGCAATCAAAAGTCATTTCACTAAAACTTTGGGGTATCTGTAGTTACTGAAGTTGGGGTTTATACCTTTCATTTTTTCAATATTGTTTTTCTTTCTTAGAATCTTCTCATAGAACTGCTAACTCCTTTGGATGTATGTTTAGTTTATTTCTTATTCCACCCTCACCTGCTCCTCCTACCCAACAAGCTCCAGCCCAGGGGAGGAAAAGGTCAGGAAAAAATGGTGCCAGCACTTTTCCTTTTGTCTCCCAGGTGGCTTCTTATGGAGGCAGGAAATTTTTTTTTTTAAGATTTATTTATTTATGCATACAGAACTGGGGTACAGGCCAGAGGTACAGGGGGGTGAGAGGATTCACCAGAAACAGAATGGGGAGCAGAACACTGCTGAGGGGTGCAGTGGGTGGTCAGTCGAGGTCTGCTGTGCCATGTGGATCACCTCCAGGGCCAGGATCGAACTCATGCTGAAGTGGTTTTAGCTTCTTAATGCTGTGCTTTAACCTGCTAAGCCACCAGGGAGGGCACGGAGACAGGAAAATTTGACCCCAATTTCTAGTGCCTCTTTGTTCCACGGAAACATAAAAGGTATGACCCAGGCCCATGGCATCCTGACTGAGTAGCAAAGATCCCCCCACTGCCACCTCAAGGATGACAGCATTTTGAAAGGGGAACCCAACATACTGCGAGGGAGGAGACACCCTGAAAACTCGCTAGATGGGTCCATTTAAGATTGCCCCAAGCATTGCCAGGAAAAGAAACAAAGAACTAAAGCGTCTTCAGTTACTTTGGGTGAAAATATCTCTTTTAAAAGAATTATTTAGAGGGAGGGAGACAGGGAGATCCAGGAGGGGTCGGCTGGTCCTTCCCAGTTCTAGTTCCTGAAGTTCAGGCTTTTGCAAATCCCTACTGGCCCGCTGGCAATCTGTCAAGATAGCCTCGTATCACCTCACTTGCTAATTTCCAAATAGGAGCATAAAAACCTGAAATGCATATGGGTGTCACCCAAGGCTGAGGCTCGACCGCCAAGGCAGGGGGTGGGGAGTGCCCTTTCTCCTCTAACGACCCAGAGGTGCCAAGTTGTAATCTGCAAATGTATTGTCTGGCCCCGGGGGCCTGACAGTTAATGATTTGCGGCAGAGGGAGCTCGGCTACCAGAGCAAGGGACGCCAGCGAGCGCGGGCCGAGCCCAGCCAAGCCCCCGGCAGCAGCACAGGCGCCGCCTCCCGTCTTCCGGGCCCCGGCACTTCGGGGGGTTCCGGGTGCCGGAGACCGCTGAGGTCCCCATGGAAGCAGTCTCGCCGGCGGGCTCCGGAGCCCCGCATCCTCCCGCGCAGGAATGGGGGGGCTCACTGGCCAGCCTGCTGCGTCGGGTAAAAGGCAAACTCTTCACCTGGTGAGTGGCGGGAGAGCTGGCGCGCGGGCTAGGGACCCGGTGCACACTTGGCTGCAGGGCACACGCGGCTGGGGAGCCAGCGAGCGGGGCGGCCCCTGGCACCTCGGGGCAGGCGACTCACTAGGCGCGCCAGGGCTGTTGCTCTTTACCTGGCTCTCCGGCGCGCTTTGTGCTCCTCCCTCCGCTGCCGTTTACAACCTCGCGAATGGATTCCAGATCATTTGGGGGAATCCACCCTGTTGGTACTGTGAGGCCGGCCCGCGGTGGCTTCTTAGAGGGGCGGGGACTAAGCCCCCAAGGATGCTGTGGCGGAGGGCGCCCACTGTCCGGCCAGGCAGGTGGGTGAGCGCCTCTTCCTGGCGCCGGCACCGCATTCTTCCTGCCGCCTAACCCGTCAGGCAGGGCTGGCGATCTCCACCAACGGATGAGTTCACCCGAGTGAGAAATCCGGGTTAAGTTTTGAGGTGCCGCCCCGTCGTAGTCCAGAACCTGCTTTCTTCCTGGGCCCAGCGAAGCGGCGTCGCCATCTCCGGGACTGGGTTCCAGGGAAGCATCTTGGTGTCACTGTGCTTGAGGAAAGGGATCGGCAGCGGCTCTGGGATGGGAAAGCTTTTTTTTTTTGCGATGACCGCAGGGCCTACATTCTGAACAGAGAACCCAAGACAAGCCAACATTTATTCAGCATTCATTGAATGCTCTGCTTCAGGGACTCTGCTTCGCCAGCATATGGGGAGTATCATCGAATCCTTACCGTTTCCTGAGGTGGCACTGATGTAACACACACTTTGGAGATGGAAAAACAAAGAAAGCTAACATTTGCTCAGGGCCAGAACAGCATCTACAGAGGCTTAGCCAGTAAAATGGCCTTAACCCCTCCTGCCCTGGGCACTTCAGGAAACTGGCATTTGATTTTTTTTTCTTTGCCTCCAGATGAGCAAAGCAATATTTCCTTTCAAAATTTGGCAAGCGTACCTTGAAGTACCATCCCATTTTCAAAACGAAATCACTAACAGGTGGTTCTCTGTGCCTTCTTTTTTTTCGTAAAATAGAAATAGTGTAGTGGCACACGCTTATCTTTGGTTTCGCTTCTCATGGTTCAGTTTCCTGTGGTGGCCAATTTTGATCTGAAAATACTACCTACAATAAGATAGTTTTACACATATACACATAATCATATTTGTATAACTTTTATTACAGTATATTGTTATAGTTCTATTTAAATTTTAGTTATTGTTAGCCTCTTACTGTACTTAATTTGTAAATTAAACTTTATTATATGTATGTGAGGAAAAAACATAGCATAGCAATGGTTTGGCAGTAGCCTGTTTGGGGTCGTGGAAGGTGTTCTCTTGGATAACAAGCTCAAGGCTCTTGCCCTGTAGGGGTTCTGTGAGGGTAAGTGGCTGACTACACAGGGCAGGCAGGCATCAGAATGCCTGGCTCCTAGCCTCCTCCTCACAGCCTTCTCTGCACAGGTTAGATTGTACCCCCCCCCCCCCCCCCCCCCACGGGACCACATGGCTTGACAGACCTCTCCTGACCATCCCACTGCTCTACTGGGTGGTGCTAAGATGGGATTTTGCTCCAGGAGATGCCAGTGGCGCTGATGAGAAGGAAGGCAGTCGATAATTAAGATGTGACAAGACTAGCAATGATTTTTTTCCCCCTGATGTTCTAATATTTTCAAAATCCTGGTATGATTTACAGTCAAGAGTATCTAATAGCTTCTGGACGGAGGTTTCCTCTGTCTTTGAATACTTTTGTGTAACTTCCTTATGGAGTTTTACTTTCTTCCTCTGTGATAGCTACTTGAGGGCATCTTCTATTTCTGATGGACATAGTCTTTCATAGTAGAAATCAAGTCTTTTTCATTGTACTCATTGTTTGTTTTTTTTTTCTCCCCACAAATGAATGAAGGAGGGATAACCAAGTTCCTTCCATTCTGCCACCCTTCCGGCACTCTTTCCTTTATGGGTCTACATTCCGAGGGTCTCTAGCTGGCATGTCCACTGGCAGAGCTCTTCCATTCATTAGGATGCTTCGTCCTGCCTCTGGTAACCATCTTGGTTTTTGGGTTTTGGCTTGTACTTTTCCCCTGTCTGACCCAGCAATCATTAAAGTACAGTTGATTAGATATCCAGTACCACTTGTATTATTATTTTAAATCTTCAGTGGTAAAATTCATGTCCCACAGTTGAATTTGGCTCCATGAATCCTCACCTGCAATCAGGGGTGGACAGAGACTGGTAAGTAGATGTGTTTTCACCATGTGGAGAGGTATAGGTGGCAGTTGTGACCGCACAACTCTTCTAATCCTTTTACCAAAAGGGCAGGGGTAAAAATCACCTTATTGGCAACTGGGCCGTACATACAGGAGGGAAGTCTGGGCCTAGAGCTGGTTCTGTTTACAATATGAAATGGAGATATTCTAGATAACCCCAACTCCTGATATACCTGACTCATTAGTGTACAGATAGCTTTTCATTATGATTAAGACTATCTAATCTCTAATTCACTAAATTTATTTTTTAAGGATTTATTTTTAGTTATTTATGCATATAAGAACTGGAGTGTAGGCCAGAGGTGGAGGGTGAGTAGATTCATCAGAGACAGAGTGGGGAGCAAAATGGGTGGGTCTACTGAAATACACTGCTAAGGGGAGCAGTGAGCGAGACAGGAGAGGGCTGCTGTGCCCTGTGGGTCAGCTCCCTGGCCTGGGATTTAACTCAGGCCATGGTGATAATAGCACTGAGACTTAATTCCTAAGCCACCAGCAAGGCCCCCTCCCCAAAAGTTTATTGACTACATATTATGTGCCAGGCAACCATGATAATGACACTATGTGTTTCCAGTGGACTCTGCTTGTAATTTTTGCTTTTGTCATTTATTGCTGTCAGCTCAAATGATACACACTGTAATTGGAAGATATGCATTTTTACAAGTACCTGGAATGGTTTACCTTAAGCAGTTTATATTCTTACACATTCTAATTCATATATTGTTGGCTATCAAGGCTATATCTTTGGCATATTTCTAATGACTATCAAGGTTATACCCTTAGCAAAAGTTTTAAACTATTTCTTACACTTATTTTTCCATAGACTAGAGCATAAGATTTTGAGGACAGACTTTTGCCTTTAATAGCATAGTGCAGCACATGCATTCCTTCATTCATACATTTTTTCACTTGCCAAGCCTTGAGCATCTGTGGTGTTCTAGACTAGGTTCTAGACTAGCTTCTGGACTATAAAGATGAAGGGGATTTAATTCCCGTTGTCAAAAGGGTTCATAGTCAGTTATGGTAAGAAGTCATGGTAAGTTTTGTAGCATGAAGACAAAGTAGAGATGGCACAAAGGACAGCAGATATCAAGTGCAGTAGGGTTGGGAGACTTGGGAATCACTGAGCCAGTGATTGGGCACGGAAGGGCAGTCACTGTGGTGGGGTGGGTGCTCAGTGTTTTGTTTAAGTAACTGCAAGTAGACTGGAGTGAGGGGGCCTGGAATTGTGGAGAAATGAGCACATAGAGTGAGTATTCTTCAGCTATACTTTTATCAGGCAAAGGCTCTGGCCCTTTGGCTCCTACTTTCTGTGGTTCTGTTGGTCCTAATTGAGGGACACCCAGGTGTTTCCAATTCCTAGCTTCCATAGCCACTAGGAATTGGACATGCATGTCCCCTTAGGTACTGGGGAAGAGCTCAGATCCCAGCCCTTTATGACTTTTTTTTTTTTAAAGATTTTATTTTCTTTGTACATACAGAACTGGGGTACAGGCCAGAGGCTCAGGGGCGGTGAGAGGCTTCACCAGAGACTGAGTGGGGAGCAGAACAGGCAGATCTACGAAGTACACTGCTGAGGGGAGCAGCCGGCGGGTCAGGAGAGGTCTGCCGCTCCATGTGGTCACCGGGGCAGGCAGGGATCAAACTCATGAGGAAGTGGCTTTAGCTTCTCAGTGCAGTGCTTTAACCCACTGCGCCACCAGGGAGGGCCCCTCTATATGACTTTTAAGGGAACCAGACCTGGCCTGGAGAATCCTGAGGTACCACAATACCACTGTTGATTGTTATTGCTCAGTGCTCCTCCATCAGCCTTTTCTACTGCTTTCTCAGCAGGTGCCTGAGGAAAGGAAGAGGCAGTTTGTCTAGGCTGTAGCCCATTAACTCAGAGCTGGGTGAGTGAGGGTGGGTGGAGGAATGGTTTCTGGCTGGACAGCCTGAACCTGTTTTATCAACTTTTCAACACTGCAGGGATTATTAAAGGGACAGACAGTAATTGTCCTCATGCAAAGTTATGGCAAAGTAAGGGTGGACTTTAAAAGCTTTTCTCCTCCACACCCTCCATTGGGCCTCTGGTTCTCTGCCCAAGGCTGTCATCTTCACCCTCCCCCAGGCCAGTTCCAGCCATCCTAAGTTGCCTCCTATTTCTTCTAGCCACTCTCTTTGTTTTTTCTCAAGGTTGCTTTAAGATGCTTTGTAAATAGCTCCAGGCCTACCAATCTTCTTTCTTTACTGCTTTCTGTCTCTCCCCACATACATCTTCGTGGGGTGCTTCTTCTCTATGCCCTTCAGGTAGCTATCTGAACTCATCATTACATCTATCCTATCTCAACATAAAAAACAATTATCACTAACCTGGCAGAATGCCTTGAGGCTGGAGATAGTATTTGGCTATGAAGTACCTGTACTACCCTGGGCCTGGCATTGGATTGACAAGGCAGCAACTGATTACCAGAAACAGTAAAAACCTACTTGCAAGTAGATTTAGTAAATGAGATCTAAAAGTTAAGACTGAAAAAAACAAAAAACAAAAACAAACCAAACACCAAAAACCAAAAATCCTGGGCTATTCTAAAGAGATGTTCTTCTGAACTGTATATGTGAAAGAAGAAAATTACCTTATATATGTGAAAGAAGAAAATTCCCTTCTATAGTAATTGCTTCCCTAAAGAAGTTTGACTATGTTTATGAAAAGGCTACAAAAACTTCCTTATTTACTGAGGAT